GAGCATCTGTGAGGTAAGACTAATATGAATAGATTGGTTGATTTTCATGGAGATGAAAATAAAAAGAGTTGCTACCAACTTCGTAGGTACTTTATTGGAGAACAAGTATTGGACATGACCCGTATCAAAGTCACTTTATGGATCGTAGTCATGAATGATGTTTTATTAAGGAAGTATATTTGTATTCTTCGACCTAAGATACATATTTTGGACTTGAGTGTAGGAATTTTTGTGATTTGACATGGTTTAACGTTGTTTCATAAATGGCATTTAGAAGGGCCAAAGTTGGGTATAACTTGAACTACATGACGGGCGTATGTAGTCAAGATGCAATTTGTACCTCTTATTCGTTGAGAGTTAGATATCTACTTCCTTATTAAAAGTTGAACACCACATGAGATTGATCGCGATCCATATCTGTCACAACTAGCCTTTTTGCTAGGAAATTTTGTACTCTTGTAAACATCATTTATTGTGATGCCTATAACTCTAAGTTGATACTATGCACTACGGTTATTCAATGACAACAAACTGAATCAAGGTTCACAAGTGAAGTTCAAAACTCTATACAAAACATTCCAATTAGTTAATCATGAGTTGAAAACCCTAGAAATCTTGGTTCAAGTTCACTATGAACTAGGATCCTCTTATTGGGCCTAATGGACCCATAAACCTTCAACTTGACTACTTTGGGCCTAAAATCCCTAATTGGGTTCTAATTTGACCCACATTCATAAAACTTAACATTTTGGGCCATGTGGGCCATAAATAATTCCAAATTGCCCTAATGGGTCGTAAACCCTCTTAATTGGGCTTCATTGGGCCGTGAACTCTCCTAAGGGCCCAATGGGCCGAAAAATAATTTTTGGGCTTCATAAATTCGAACAAGACCAAAAATAGACCAAATCACTTCATCCTCATCTCTCTTAAACCCAATTGTAGGCCCATTATGCATATAAACAAAAAAAGAGGAAAATCTTGCACTTGACACATCATTGTTGCATGGTGGATTCCCATGCAACATCACCTCACATACCCTCTCTCTATTCTCTTATTATCAGCCGAAGCCCCCCCCCCCCCTCTCTCCACATTTTCACTCCAAGTTCATTCAAACCTTCCCAAGTTCCTCTCAAACTCAAGAATAAACTCACTCATTTTCTTTGCAATTTTTGTGACTTTGGTGAGTAATCGCAATTGTTCTTCATCCAATATTATCTACTTGGTAAGTTGTCATAATCCTTGAGTTATTAAATTCCACTTTTAGCTAAGAACACACCCTTACATAACATTAATTCGTGATCTTGCTTCTTAGAACCCATCTAAGCCCCAAAACTTCTCAAGTAGCTTATTAAGGCCGACAATCACACCATCTCCTTCCATTTCTTCTTCAAACCGAGAACAACAAAGCAATGTGAGTTCATACCCTCTTTATTTTCGGTTTTATATGATTTTTAGGGGAGAATACAAGTTACTATGTGATAGATCTAAGTGTTATGCATGTTATGTGTGTATTTCTTGATTTAAAATGTGATTATGTGTGAAAACTCTGTAGATCTCAAAATCTCTATCCAAAAGTAGTGATATTTGTAAACTAAAACATTTCTTATAGCTTACTATAAAGATAAATGTGTTAAAAATGTGAAGATCCATGAGAAACTAAACAAAATCTTGAAAAAGGACCATTTTTGACATATAAACAAAAAGTTGAGGTTTTTAGTTTATTTTTGGTTTTTAGAATGACTAAAAGATTCATGATAGTTCAAAATGGGTCTTTATGATAATCAAAATTTTCAAGGAGCCAAAAGTGTAAATTTTTGCATAATGGGCCTTGATTTGGGTCATTACAGTTTCTTGGGCCTAAAATGTAAAAATCTTGAATTTTATGGGTCAAATTGTCATTTTATACAAAAATGGGCTAAAAATGTAAATCTTTGGATTTATGGGCTGAAAATGGCACTTTTATTGATTTTGGGCCTAAAATGCTATTTCTACAAAATTTGGGTCGAAAATGCCATTCTTTTTAAAAATCAGTTACAAATGTTAGTTTTATAAAGATTGGGCCGAAATTGTCAATTTATATATATATATATATATATATATATATATATATATATATATATATATATATATATATATATGGGCCGAAAATGAAGTTTCTAATCAAAATGAGCCGCAAATGTCATTTTAGTAAGAATTAAGCCCATAAAATGAAAACTTTTAAGTCTTTAGGTATTTAAAGTGTCAAATTTTCCAAAAAGGTGACTAAAATTGTATAATTTCAGTCTAATGGACCAAAAATGTCTCTATTACATAAATTAGACATTTTTGTGTGCAAAAACAAGAACAAAATAACGACAAATGGACGAAATACACTGATAACATGTTATTGGGCCTAATACTCTTATTACATGGTTAATGGGTCTTAGGGGTCCATTTAAGTGCATATTGGGCCTAATATTTCCATGACATGTTTATTGGGTCTTTGTGGTCCATTTATATGTTAATTTGGGCCTGAATTATGGATCACATGTGTATTAGGCCTTAGTGGTTCATTTACATGCCTATTTGGCCTGAATTACCCTTTTACATGTTATTAGGCCTTCGTGGTCCATCCACATGCTAATTGGGCTTGGATTAAAAATCATATGTTTAGCTGGCCTTAAAGGTCACTTATATGTCTGTTGGACTTCATACAATCACTTACATACTTTGGATTTGAAAACTTAAAACATATACGTAAATGTTATACATGGTGTGATACAATACTCGTAAACAAGTTAAGGATCTAGTGAGACTTGTGGGTTGACACATTTGAGTGTAAGATCGTAGCCTCTACTTATAATCAGAGTCTCTTGGAGGGAGAGTTAGAGTTTGTGTATAGATCTATATGGGGGTGACACCCCCACGCCTTAGCTGTTCGCTACAGCTAGACTAGGCTAGTTTAGGGCAACAAACCTTACCGTAATCAAACCGGCACCTGAAAACACCAAGACAGGCGAACTAATCATTTTTCAAGCATGGTTGTAATGGCTCACTTAAAGATTAACTCCAACAAAGATTTTGGTATACTTTTATAAATCTTGGGGACACTAAAAGCATACATAGACACTCAGTTTTGGGAATTCGTGATTACAATACTCTTAAAAGCAGAAAATATCAGATTTTCTGGAATGAATACATTTACACATTACTCTTACTTACGACAAAAAATACAGAATTTTCTGGAACAAAATTCATATACATTTCTAAAAACATAATACACACATACATTAATATCTGCTTTTGTCACATTACATTCAAACCATTTTTCAGAAAATATCGGCTTTTCTGGTGTTTTACCAACCATGCAAAAACTTTCATGCAAACATGCTTATGAATTCACCAACATTATTTATGTTGACGTTTTCAAAAATCATTTGTATTCTCAGGGAATCGTTAAGCGGAATGTCAGCAAAGAATGTGGAATTTATTGTATTTTGTTATCATCATACATTTAACGCTTTGGTCATGTAATTTAAAATATTGTACTTGATGTAAACAATGGCAGTTGTATTATATTATGCATGGTAATGCTGATGTTATGTTTAATTTATATTCATTGTGATGATATTTCAAGATGAAGTCATGCACGAGCCCCTGTACATTTCCGCCGTTTGTTTTGGGGGTGTGACAATATCTCATGTTCAACATGATTTTTGAGACAAATGAATAACTGATAGTACACATTTAATAACAATTGTAGCTTTGAGCTCCTAGAATTGGTTGTTAATGAGATGGCACCCTTCGTATATTGTTAGTGCAATTGCCTGTTTCTAGACACCAATTAGTGTCTATGTCAATCTGTAATGAATCTTGTGTAACTGTGAGATTGTTGGATCTATATGTTCAAGAATAATTATTGAATGATATTGTTAATAACATATGATCATATATGATCACACCTTTATCAAGGTGGCACACTTTGAATACTTATTATTAATATGATTATTAATAAATATAATCAAATCCTGTATTTATTTTAGGAATAATTATTGCTTAATGAAAATGTAATTAAAGAGAGAGAAAATATTTATTATATCATATAGTGTGATTTAATAATTCATGTACAAAGTTTTGGACACATTAGTTAACTATGTACTGACTAGTTAGTTAGTTTTTGGTTAAAGAAACTAGCCTAACTTTTTGTCTTCTTGTTTTTTACCATATGACCGAAGTTGTCTAAGGGCATGGGAGATTGTTTGTTAACCTCCCCTCACCTGTCCTCTATGTTTAGTCTCCTTTATATTACTTTAAAATATTCTAAAGGATTTGATTTACTTGCATGAGAGTATATAAGAGAGTGTGTTGCTTGCAAAATGACCACTCGTCTTCCCTTGGAAGAACTCCAAAAATTATAGCTTCTCTCTTCACATCCTCTCTCCATATCTTTTGAAGTAATGTGAAGAAATGTTGCTTAGATGTGCTTCTCCTTTAGTGTTATTTGTGATAAGTACTTACAGACTTAAGAAGTACTTCATATAAAATGAGAATTAGCATTCGAAGTACTTTACTCTTGATGGTGGATATATTATAGAGAAGCTGTTCCTTGAGTTTGGTTATCTTCATCAACGCCCCAATTCCAAATGGGATCAAAAGCTTCAAATGTTATATCCTTAACTTCCTATGGCTGTTATTATCTTTTTAGTTCATATATTTGGATCCTCTTTGTGGTTTTGTTAAAATGCTCTAAAAATAAACAAGTTATTTTAAAAGTTTTCCATTTTCTGTTTAAGTTTTTTTTATAAAAAATATATTTTTAGTTATCAAAACCCATCACATAGTATCATATAAATCAATCACCTAAAGTATGCTAGTACACCTTTAAACTTATAATTGGGTAAGCATAAGGTTTAGTGAGTTAGCAATTTAAGGGGAATACCTTAGTTTCATTTAGCGTACTTAGATCCTTAAGGTGTATTTAAGAAAAATATTTTAGTGTACTTGGACCATATTAAAATTTCACCATGATGACATTGACAAGTTAGATGTATTCGACAAGAAGATTAAAAATGAACTCTAATCACTTTACCAATAAAATTCGGTAGGATATAAGAAAATAAATATACAAGCATTTGATTTGTGTAGGAAGCTCTCAACCTCACAAAATGCTTCTTGTGAGGATTGCAGTGGACTCCAAATACTGACTTCAATTTCTAAAATCTAACCTTCAATTTTTCCCACTTCAACTGCTTATTTAAATTTCTAAAAGAATAGTATTATGCAAACAACTTCAACAAATCGGATGGTCAAATGTGAATAGAAAAAGGAAATTGTCTAGATGTAAACAAAACCAATAGTTCATTACCCTCATAGGTAATTATCTTCTTCATATATATATATCACATAAATTATAACTTGCTACAGTCTGTCATAACTGTCATATGTGAACACTTCCAATAAGTTCGTTGTGTATATGTATACAAAAAAAAAGTTACCCAAATATGAACAAAACAAAAAGATAATTACTCTCATAAATTAATTTAAATTAATTTTCCTATGAAGATGTATGGAAATTAAGATTTTGTAAAGGAACCTTGCAATTGTTCAATCTTTTCTTTCCATTTTAGTGCTCTTGTTTTACTTGTTTGAACTTTGAACCGTATATCATTTAAGACAACCTTTCTTTTATTATTTTGTTAAAGTGTGACATCAAATACAAACATTTGAGTCCGATTTTTTTATAACCTTTGTAGAATTATATAATAGAAGTCAAAAAAAAAAAAGTCTTCACAATCAAAATATTATTGGTATTTAATAATTAATCTCATGTATGGGCCATGAAGTGAATTGACAGAGGCCATCTCAGCTACCATTTTTTTAAAACCAATTTTTCTTAAAACGAACTTAGATTAATCTTAACATGAGCTCATGGTCCTCATTGTCAACTAAGAACTAAATATACAAACTATTCTCCATCCATAAACATCTTAAAACGTTTTTTTTTAGTGTATCAAATTTGTTCAAATAAAAAATGTCTTCATCGTTTAATTGTATAATCGTGTTGTTTGAAGAAAGTAAAACGATTCCCATAGTATGCAAAACACACCTAGTACAAACTCTCTCTATACGCCTTGGGTTGTATTTTTCTATGTACATCTTTGAAATTGATGTAGTGTCAACAATCTCTAAAAACCGTTCAAAAAAAAAGTTATCGCCAACAAAAGTCAGATATTTTCTTCACATTAGCTCCAATTTTGGACATGCAATATATTGTAACGAAGCTCTCAATCTCATCAAACAAGAAGCAATGCAACCCCATAAGTAAAAGCATCCACAAATATTTATTATTATAAGTGTCCAATTTAGGTGAAAAACCAAGTTTTTCAAATAGAGATATAGCAATCATCATCATATTCATCTACAAAATCGGCCACCAAAGAATAAAAGCAATAAAGTTGAATTTAAGCAGATTTCATTACGAATAAACGGACACCTAATCTGAGAAAGTTCTGATCATATCACATTCATGTACAAGTAGAGCTATATATATAATATAATGCAACAATTACTATAAAATATAAATAAATAAACACCAACCTCATTTCACATTTTTGTTCACCATTTGGTCGATAAGCATTTGGCTGCACCTTTTCCACCTTCATGTATGTGAGGTTTGAATGTTCTTATAACCTCCTCATATGTTGGCCTTTTATAATCCACTGCCTATTATTATTATTATTATTGCATGTTTCATATAAACAAGTTTACAATAAATAAAACATGAAGAAAAGATGGATTAATAATAATTATTAACCTGTTCAATGACTTCTTCAGGAGTTGTCCATTTCCACTCTGAAAATTCTGGATCAACTTCACCACTTGCCAAATTGATTTCACTTTCATCTTTTGTTAGTCTCATCAGGAACCTAGTAATTATTTGTTCATGGTGTTTCTTATTAACAGGAACTGATGATTTTTTTATTTTTTTTTTGTTAAGACTTAGAGAGGAAATTTACCATTTTTGTGCTTGTCCATGCCATTCACCTCCTCCCCATAAACGATTCACTTTAGCTTTAACAGCAGGAGGGAAATCGTAAGTCAGCCATTTTGGAACCTAAAGAAAACATACTTTACATTTAGAAATATAATTATCAAACACAAATATAGTATAAAAATTTGAATCTAATTCTAACCTCTGCGATTATTTCAGCAGAAACCACTCCAGTTTCTTCTCGAAGCTCCCTCACTGCTGCAGAAGTTGGCTCTTCTCCCTCTTCAATCCCCCCCTAACAACAAAACTTTTATCAGTTACAAATTGAATGAAAGATATAAAGAGGATTTGTCATGAGAAAGTAAGCCCGAAGCTTTTGAATTTAGAAATCAGAGGAATTTCAAATCATTGATAAACAGAAAGTGATAAAAGTAATCACCTGAGGCATTTGCCATGCTCCGGGTACATTTAACCTTGAAGCCACGAACACCTGTAGATAATAGAAGTGGATGCATCGTTCATTTAAAAATATGAAATCAATAATATATAACACATGATAAATTAAAATTAATCAAGTTTTATCTGGCCCGAATCCAATTAAAGTTGAATGATTGAGAAGTTTATAACTAATTAAATATTCAATCACACAATCTTCTCCAGATCCGATACAAAACCATAAAGACCACATGCAGAGGACTAGAAAATTACATAGAAGATGAATAAACAAATAGAATGAAACTTCATTGAGAAGGCTCATCAATTCATCACACTTTTTTTAAAGAATAAATCTCATCAAACGTTGTTCAAATAGAGCTATCAACCATCAAATCAATCACCTAATAAACCTATTAAATCACTTCCTTACATTTCAAGATACGAAATGATATAAGGTTTTCCTACCTTCAATTATATCATTTTTAAAATATACAAAAAGCACAGAGTCGCAAGCGAAAAGCAAATCATATTTGGCTTCGGTTTCCAAAATCAATCAGAAACGTATATATCTAATTTCAAAACTGAGGCCTTATAAGTAACAGCGGATCGTAATATCAAACACGAATCGAAATAAAAGGAGATGAAATCACTGATATTGAATCCACGTCCAGCATCTACAATACAAAAACTAACAGTGCAATACTAGCGTAGTATGAACAGAGTAATTAACATCCATTAACAAACTCTAATCTCTAAAACTCATAATTGTATTTGCAAATGAAAGTTACAGAAAAAGGAAAACTAGTTACCAGATTATCGGAATTGATGAGACATACGCCGACGTTCGGCCGGTAACCGGCGGGCAGATCGTCCATAGAGTTGATGTTTTTAGAGAGAGAAAGTAAAGAGAGATTGAGAGAGAGAGAGAGAGAGAGAGAGAGAGAGAGAGAGAGATTGTGAAGAAAGTCAATGAAATGTCAGTACAAGAGCGTGTGGGTGTGTATATATAGACTCCGAAAATAGATGCAGGGGAAGAGTCTGTATGACGGTGAAGATGACGGAGGACGCGAGTGAGATTATCGTGCGCACCCTTGAGGTTGAAAAAGAGAGGATCCGATGCTTGCTGCCCCACTGTCTTATCTTGAACCCTCCAGTCGTCTGCTTTAAATCTAAGTCAAAAACAATTTTATCAATTATTCGATTTCGCTTTACCTTTTTCAAGTAAATATCCGCGTATTAGTTTTTTTAAAAGTCATAATCAAGAATATCTTTGTTATAGAATGTTAGGCAAAACATAGAAAGCTTTGTAAAACACATATAAAATAGAATAAAATGGCAATATTAAATTTAAAATGAGAAAATAACCACAACGCAAATATTCATCCCAATATTATATTTATTTTCTTGAAAATAATTTTAGTAAAAAACAATATTTCCTTACTATTTGAAAATAACCACGAATTTCAAAAAATATGATTTTTAATAATTTTTTAAAAATAGTTTTAGAATCCCGACTAGGATTGTATGATTTATTAATTTTATCTCATTCCGATCTCACACATTTTTATTCTTTATATCATCTTCAAGTTTTTAGTTTCTAAACCTTACAAATGTGTCATTTCTATTCAAAAAAAGCTCATGATTAGAATAAAAGAAAGTTCATTCAAATTGGAATTGAAATTGAGCTTAAAAATCATTCATTTAATTCTAACAGAACATTTTAGATCGCAGAAAATCTCATAAAATATTAAAACTCCATACATTCGCCACAAAAGGTTAGGCTCTTTTGCAATCTAGGGACTTTAGGTTTATACCTAGCAATAATTATCTTATTTCTTCCTCCGCTTAAAATGTTTACTTTCCTAATTATTGTGGTTTGCATCTACAAAAATCATAGTTATTGTTTAAGAAGTTAAAGTTCAATTCCATCTTAATCAATATTAAATTGTAATGGTCATAATCTTATGATTAGGATCTTACCGTATATATAAAACAATTGTAAGTAAAATCATGGTTTTGACAACCATAATACAAACACATATTATATGAATTGATAAAATAATATTTCTATTTAATTATATCAGTTGAAAATTTTAATTTATAAATGTTAGTCAAGCTTTAATAAACGCATATATTCAATTATGTAGATTATGGGTATTTCGACATTAAAATTTTAATAGTCTTGTACTTGTAGGTTTTAGTTTAAAAAAAATGAATTAGGAAAATAAATTGTTCGAGAATCCGAGTTTAAAAGTTTTATTCCAAAGCGTAAAACAAAAACAACTCATAATTTAAAAGTTATTTCAAGTAGCTTCTAAAATATTTTTAGTTTTTAGATTTCATGTAATATTATATCTTTCAAAAGTTTTAACTATTTTTTCTAAATAATTTTATACAAATAAATATTATGTCTTTGGTTCCCAAGTAAGCTTTACCACACATACATTTTACATTTGTAACACTATTTTGCAATCTTCAAGATAAATAGTAGTTTAACATTTTTAAACCTTTAACTACATACATAAGATGAAAAATTAAATGTTTTTCTTATATTTTGTTCCTATTTAACCTCTTTCTCATATAAAACAATGACATGTTGATAGATTAAAATTATAAATAAGGAGTTTTTTTGATAAGTTAATGTCCTCTAACTTATCTAAATAATCTACACTTATTTAAATCAATTTACCATATTATCCTTCATATGCGTGTCTATATATATATATATATATATATATATATATATATATATATATATATATATATATATATATATATATATATGTTATTGGTCATTTTATATTTATAAGCAAAAATTGTCAAATAACAACTTATCAACTTATTGCGTATTCATACCGGATAAACTATTCCATAAAAAAATTAACTCTATTTTGACATCGGAAAAACTATTAAACATTTTTATCATAAACATATGTTATTTAAATAAACAATATTAAACATCCTTAATTAATTAATTAATTAATTGTTTTAATTTTAACATATATCTTAATCTAATAAGGGACTACGTGTAAGACTTGTATAGTACGTGGGTTTATTAAAGATAAAAGTTTAATATAAAGTTGTAAAAAATACGTATTTTCTAAAGTAATATTTTTACATAAATAAAAAGGATATAATGATGAATAAAGTAAGTAATTTAATATATACAAATAAAAAAACATTGACATATTTTTAAAAAATGATTTTGAAAATTAAGGTGTAAACATTAGATATTTTTTTTAAAGTAAACTTTCAAAAATAAATACAAATGAAATGATAATAAGTAGGTACTTAAATATATACTAATAAAAAAATTATTGAAATATTGACATTGTAGACATAACATTTGATTTTTCTTTATCTAAATATAGTTTTATATGTTTGTGTTTGTCGTTAGGATCGTTAGAATCTATATTATGTTTTTATCTTAAAAACAATAATAAATCCTAAAATAAAATTATGATGAAAAGTGTTATCAAATTTTAAATGTTTAATTATTAAAATGGAGATATTATAAATTCAAATGTGTAGCTATATAAAAATACTATTAATCACTACAAATTTTATATGTCTTGAGTTTAGTAAAATGTATACATATTTCATTCATTTTTTCAATATGTATTATATATATATATATATATATATATATATATATATATATATATATATATATATAATTGTCATATAACATATAAAAAAGATATTATAGATAGATAAAATACTTAGTATTTTCTTAAGAATATTTAGGAAAATATATGTATACATAGCTAAATATAAATTTATATTGAAAATTAAAAAAAAACATTTACATAAATACATAACTTAACAATGCTTAATGTTAATCTCTAGAAATATTATTAAATAAATACAATATATACACCTTGCCTAAGAAAAAAACGGTTATAACATTTATTTTCAATATTAATAGAATTAATGTATCTATTATATAAATTAAAAACATAAAAAAAATAATAATAATAAGTGGAAAACGAAAAAAAATAATAATAAATAACATGTGTTAAATGTAATGAAAATAAGATATATATTAAAATTATTTTTTATTTATTATGGTAGATTATATTATAAAAAAATATTATATATTAAAATTATATATTAAAATTATATTATAAAAAAATATTTGATTTCTCATATAAGATTTGTTGTGGTTCATAACTTTCTTTTTAAGTTTATATTTGTGGAGTGATGAGAAGTTAGATTTGGAAGAAAGCGTGAATTAAAATAGTGGAAGTCCAAGATAAGTAAGGTGAGGCAGCATACATGGTATCAAATGGATGGTGGACTATTTTTGGAATTTTAGGTGGAAAGGGTTGGGTTAGCGTACGATAGCATGAAGCATGATGAGGTCAAATGGGTTGGGGGAAAGGTGAGAAGAAGACAAAAGAAGGACAAAAGGTAGTGGGCGTTAAGAAAGAGCGTTGACTTTCAGTCATTAAGTGGAAGCACCTGTTTTTATTATTTTCTTTTATCATTTTAATTGTAGATACTTGTGGCTGCAATTGCATACGAAATCCAAAACTGCAAAAAAAAAAAAAAAAAAAAAAGGGGTTGAAAATCAAAATTTAAACGGAAGTACCGATCGAATATATATATATATATATATATATATATATATATATATATATATATATATATATATATATATAGAGAGAGAGAGAGAGAGAGAGGAAAAATAGGAAAGAAATAGACATGTGTTTTCCAACAAAACATGTTTCTTTAAACTATGCTAATCATTACCTTAATATATACAAAAACATAGTTTTTTCGTTTTTATTTTTTTTTATTTTTAAGAAGCTATTTTTATCGAAAAAAGATTTTAAATATACCAAAATTCATAATTTTTTATTTTCTACAAATATACATTCATATTGATATAGTTTTAAGATAAAATACAAATTTTATTTTTTTTTATATTTTTAGCTATCGTTATTCATAAGTGAATAAAAAATCAATCAGATTTTTACTACAGTACATTCGTTATTCAGTTATGAATAAAAACTATGATTTTTTTTTTACAATTTAAGTATCATTCATATATGAATATAACATATAATATACATAGTATATTCATATTTAAATATTAGACGATGCATTCACTTATGAATATTACATAGTAATTCACTTGTGAATATTAGATAATATATTCACTTATGAATATTAGATAATATTTTCATATCTGAATATTACATAGTATTACATGGTATATCACATGTGAATATTACATAGTATATTCATTTGTGAATATTAGATGATATATTCACTTATGAATATTACACAGTATATTCACATATGAATATTACACAGTATATTCACATATGAATATTACAAGGCATTTTCACAAATATATATAATTTTTATATGTTATTTACATATGAATCACATACAGACTTGCATATTTGTTTTTTTGTTTTAATAATCATATACTGAGAAAATAAATTCATATATGAATATAACGTGGTAATTTAGTTTATGCATTTCATCAAACAGTTGGAGTGCATACAATTTAACTTTTTTTTTTTAAATGTTAAAAACATGATATTTTGACTATTTAAATCTTACAAAAGAGTAGATTGATAGAGAATTATATGAAGTTTTTCAAAAAAAAAAAAACGATTTGATCTTTTTATAACCTTAATTTTGAAGTTTTATTTGATAATCGATGTTGAATGAATGATATGAAGTGGATTTTTGTTGATTATCGATGATGTTGATCTAATAACGTTGGGAGTATAATTAATCATAGATGTTGAAGATCTGATCGTATTCAAGCACAATTGAAGGTTGAATTAAAAGAACCAAAAACGAATTTTTGTTGTTAACTGTTGAATCGTGTTGATTATTGACGAAGATCGATCATTGATTAGCACTGGATGATGTTGATGATGGTTTAATTGAAGAAATCTGGATGATTGTTGAAAGTTGGAGAATAAATTTGGATGATGAACGATGAATGAGTTTGAACTGTAATCTAATTCTCTACAGATACGTATTTAAGATTGAAGGTTGTAATCATATTTACAAGTTTGTCACCGTGTCTTTTTATGCTTAGATAAAATGAATGGCTGAGAATGATTCCCCCATTCTCAACCTTTTTTATTTTCTCAA